GGGGACGACAAAGTGCAGCATCAGCCAGGATCAGCTCCTGAAATGGCTGCATGAGCCTGGAAAAAAAAACATGGCTGCCTTAACGCTTTGAAAAGATGCCCTTCTTGTATGTTCCTACCCATTCTGAACCAACTCTTTGAAAGATATGCACCACTCTACAAACCAATCCTTCTGTCCTTCAGAGAAATTCATCACATTTGCTTCTTGTAATAACACATTCACTTGGACCCATCAGTCCTAATTAAGACATTTTGTGCATATACAGAAATAGCAGTAAAAGGATCTGGGAAGTATCAGAGGCAGATTTATGGCAGAGTCTGAAAGAAGATTTCAGGAAACTTAGTACACTGCAATTTCTTTTAAAATAAACAGCCATCTTTTCTAAGAGTTCTTACAGATTTAAATTATACAGTCAGGTCCAGAAATATTGGGACATCAACACAATTCTAACATCTTTGGCTCTATACACCACCACAATGGATTTGGAATGAAACAAACACAATGTGCGTTAACTATGTTGTTCCAGAACTGTGAAGGCTTTTTTAGATGTCGTTTGGCAAACTCTAATCATGTTGTTCCAGAACTGTGAAGGCTTTTTTAGATGTCGTTTGGCAAACTCTAATCATGTTGTTCCAGAACTGTGAAGGCTTTTTTAGATGTCGTTTGGCAAACTCTAATCATGTTGTTCCAGAACTGTGAAGGCTTTTTTAGATGTCGTTTGGCAAACTCTAATCATGTTGTTCCAGAACTGTGAAGGCTTTTTTAGATGTCGTTTGGCAAACTCTAATCATGTTGTTCCAGAACTGTGAAGGCTTTTTTAGATGTCGTTTGGCAAACTCTAATCATGTTGTTCCAGAACTGTGAAGGCTTTTTTAGATGTCGTTTGGCAAACTCTAATCATGTTGTTCCAGAACTGTGAAGGCTTTTTTAGATGTCGTTTGGCAAACTCTAATCATGTTGTTCCAGAACTGTGAAGGCTTTTTTAGATGTCGTTTGGCAAACTCTAATCATGTTGTTCCAGAACTGTGAAGGCTTTTTTAGATGTCGTTTGGCAAACTCTAATCATGTTGTTCCAGAACTGTGAAGGCTTTTTTAGATGTCGTTTGGCAAACTCTAATCATGTTGTTCCAGAACTGTGAAGGCTTTTTTAGATGTCGTTTGGCAAACTCTAATCATGTTGTTCCAGAACTGTGAAGGCTTTTTTAGATGTCGTTTGGCAAACTCTAATCAGAGCCAAAGATGTTAGAATTGTGTCGATGTCCCAATATTTCTGGACCTGACTGTATTTGAGAGATTCCTGCAGTTTGACTAATGCCAAGTATACATTTTTCAATGTGTTCAGTTGGACTATGTTAACACTTTTAATGTCATCTTGTAAGCAACCATGTAACAAACATAAAATACTTGTTCAGTGAGAAATGCTGTGAAACACGGATATCGCATATGAAGTCACAGAAAACTGGGCAGGAAATAATGCCACTTAGTCCACAATAAGAATAATGTACAGTACTTTCTATGGAAAGTAACCACAGTCTATTTACTTATTTAGTTAGGAACATCTTAATGAAAAGTATCTCTGCTGAGTAACAATGTAATTAAAGCTATTCCAGCTATTAGAAAACCTTAGTTTATTATGCCACTAGGTGGTGATATAAAATCACTGAGAATTTTCATACAGTCCATCAGATTTAAATGATGGACTTACCTCTTTTCTTCCTATAGTTTATATATTCCTAAAACAAGTTTTTCAGTGTTGATGTTGGCAGAAAATGATTTAAATTTCTTGTGACAGACCTCATTTCCAATTCCTCCCCCCCCCCAAAAAAAATTATTAATGATTCTTGTTGGAACCAGCTTGGACTGCATTTGGATTGAATGTCTTTTTACCTATATGTCAAACACTTTCACCAAAATTTATGAGTAGACATTAAATTTGGACAGCTCAGACACTGGTCTACTGCATATTAAGGAGAACAAGATGGGAAACTATAATTAGAATTCTAAATGTACCATTTCCAGACTGCAAATGGGGTTACCCATTGTTATGAATGTGAACATATGCAAAAAGATTCCCAATTATAGTAAGCCAGCACCATCAGAAATGAAGTTTGGCACACGCCATTCAATTAAATGCTAGTCTGCTATGTGAAAATAAAATTTCACAGGAAACATTAAATAAATAAAACATCTAAGAGCTGAAGTTTGTGTATGTTGTTTGTGTTTGGAAGAGAGGAAGTAATCATTCAGAAGTTCAAAGCCACACTAGACCCAAAGCACAACCCAGACTGGGCTCCTACTGATGAAAGGCACAAATAAAATGGTGGGGTTAGCAGAATGTGTTGTTGGTACAATTGTATGGTACTTGTCCATGTAATACTTTTGACAATCAAACCAACCATCCTCCACATATTTGGCTTAGTGTTCAAACAGGGAAGAAATACTGTACCCTTATCTTAGTTATTAGAACAGCATTCAGCTTGTAATAATCCTGAATAGCTTTGCTTGAGTGACTTGATGATACCTAAAATCAAGAAGAGACCAAGAAAACTAACATTTGGACAAAAGTATGAGTGAAGGCATGCAGAAATGAATTAGGAAGAAAAGAGGCCTTATGGGCAACAAATATGAAAAACAATAGATATATTTATAGCCCTAAGTGCTAATCAGTGTTAAAATGATCAAATAGTGCCTTTGAGTGGTATACCAAGCCTTGAAAATAGTTTGCTTAGCAGGTCAACCAGCAGCCCTCAATTTCTTTCCAGAGAAATCCTGATTGATTTTCCTGAAGTTTTATTTTATTCCATTGATATTTATACTCTTCCTCCTCATTTTGATATCCCAAAATTCTTCAGGAGGCACGAAGGGAAGCTGCAGTCCTATCTGAACCACCTCTAGAACAGGAGAGATGCAAATAATCTGGAATGTGATTTGGGGGGGGGGGAATGAAATGTTAGGAGCAGGGCAGGGCAAGGAGGACAGGTCAGATACCCAGCATTCAAAGCAACTGTCCGGGTTTGGAGATACTCTTACAGCACATCTTACTTGAAGGAAACTGAAGCACTAAGATCTAAGGAGGCTTGCTCTCTTCTGAAAACAAGTTGTGCATTCACTGAGAAAGTGCAGAACACCACATTAAAAGGAACAAGCATCTCCTGCTCTGTTTGGTCACCACTAGCCTCAGTGAAGAGATAGTCATCCACAAGTAGAGCAACTGTTTGTACTGCAGAAACCTTTGCATGTATACAGAGAGAATGGGAGGACTACTTGCCCTGGGATTGCAGATGACTAGCTCTTCACTGACATCACAGGACAACTCACAGAGGGGAGAGGCTAGTAACTGCTGCTACCTTTGAGAGTTCTACACTTTTCTGCTTCAGCTAAACCAGGCTTGAGTGATAAACAGATTATAGTCACCAAGTTATGACTGCTATTTCTACCACCATAACATTTCTGAAGCTTACAACTCAGGGGAAGACTCAGCACTATTGGAGCTGTATAGATGCCAGTGATACCAAGGCCACAGCTAAAATTAAACATACCAAATGAGATGATCATCACTATGTCAACCCTCATCATAATCTTTGCTGTAGTCATCCCTGAGGTCATAAACCTATGACTAGTCTGTACCATTTCATATTGCAAGTGAAGAGTCTTATGATTTAACGTGAAACAAAATCCCTGCACATAAACTAGGATAACAGGGACTTTGTCCCAACGTTTGAGTTTTCCCTATGCAGGGATCTTTTCCTATCTTCATGTGAGTCCATCCCAGCCTACATTCTGAAGTAGTATAACCCAGACACACTTCCAATTTCTCAATGAGATAAGAGCTTTACAAATGTGCAAGTCTATGCTAATCCTCTACCCTTCTAGTTAGTCGTTAGTATCCTCTTTCACATAATACAAATTTCTGCAAATAAGTAAGAACATTTAGAAAAATCTGCCTTTAAAACTCTTCAGTTAGGTATTCTAAATGCCCTTTGCCCAGCAATAGGTACACTTAGTAAAAATATTTAGGGCACAAGGCAGATTTAATAAATTAGTGCCAGCCTATAATCAATTCCTTGGTTATAATTTAAAGAGGAAAACCACTTGGTTAATTTACTTATATACAGTACTTGAGTAAACTTCCCTCTTCCTACTTTTCTTCAAGCACATCAGGACTGAACCCTGTTTCTGTGACGGGCTCTCAGGACGCCTTCATGGCCAGTTCCTCCTTGATCTTGCGCTGCAATACATGTGCAGTGACAGCACTGCAAGCAACTAAGCCAAAAAAGGAGCCACAAGACAGGATGATGGAGAGGGATCCATGTCGCTTGAGTAAGATATCTTGTCTGTTCTTGTAATCCAAGAAGATGGCTTCCAATTGTGAGAGTGTACAAATAGCAAGGAAGGTGTGGAAAATTTGGTGGGCATGACCAATAATATCACAGGACCCAGGGAAATATTTTTCAGGAACTGGACAGGAGAAGAAGCAAGCACTGACTAGGAAGAAAAGTATCTGGAAGGTGTGGTACCAAGCAGCCAACTCCTCACAGCCTTCAAGATGGCACATAATCACACGGTGGGCCACGGGACTGATGTCCAAGATGAACGCCAACCCCGCTGGGATCACCTGACACACTTTCCTCATGATGGGGTAGGGACGCCGGTAGCGGTACTTGGCGTAGCAGCAGCCAGCACATGAGAGCCATCCACAGAAAGCAGCTGCTGGCAAGAAGAAAAGCCGAAACTTGTCATACCAGGCTTGGTCGGAGCTGTAATAGAAATGGGCCAGGGCACTTCCATACTGGTAGATGCTGACTCCAACATAATCCACAAAATAGAAAGTATAGTGTGACATCTCTGACTTGGACTGCAAGAGATGAGCTAAGAGGCTGCATGTTAGATATGTAACGGAGGAAAGGACGAAGATGAAGAGAGGTAAGGAGCGGACCTCCAGAGACAACTCCTCTGCTTCAGCAAAAACATTAAACCTCAGCAGCACTGCCAAAGCAGCCAGAAGGTGAGTCCAGACATTAACGACCTCATTATGTTTTTGGAAGAGGCTGAGGAAATAATAGCGCCAATGCTGACCTGTGGGGCGATAGCCAGCTTGGATATATGGCTCTCTGAAAAGTTGGGGGACATCAGATTCTTTAACAGTGCAAGGCATTTTGGGGAAGCCTTCTTCTAGGAGCTGAGGAAGCCGACGGAGTTGTTGTCCACTGATGGACAAGGTGCTGATCCGTTCTAGAATAGCCGTCATCATTTAGATGATTCCTGAAGTGATAAGAACATGGACATGGTTAATAAGAAGGAAAACAGAATACACGGAGGCAAGTATTTCATAGTCTCTATATGTCACCATGCTTAGAGGAACTATCAAAGTCAAACCCTTTGGAGAAAAAAGTGGAGAAAGAAGGTGGCAACAAGGATGATATCATGGGACTCAATTAGGATTCAAAAGCTGCATACCCAGCTTCCATTTAAAAAAAAGAAAAAGAAATAAATGATGCTTAATGGTCCATAATGGTCTCTTTCATGTTGTGTTGTGTTAGACTTATATCCTAAATGAACATAAATGGATCTGATTGAACAGTCAAGCTGCTTCCTTGCTTTCTGCAATAAAACTTGCTTTCCACTTATTAATTAATATGCAGATGATACCCAATTAAACATCTCCATCCCAGGTAAGGTGAATGATGCTGTGACCACCCTTTCGCAGTGCCTGGAGGCTGTGGGGGTCTGGATGGGGTGCAACAGGCTTCAGCTGAATCCTGGTAAGACAGAGTGGGTATGGATTAGAGATCCCTCTGTATCCGAGGATTTACCATTTTTGGTTCTGGATGGGGTTGCACTGCCCCGGACAGACCCGGTGCATAATCTGGGGGTCCTCCTAGACTCACAGCTCCTGCTTGAGGAGCAGGTGGCAGTCGTGGCCAGGAGGACCTTTGCCCACCTTCATGTGGTACACCAGTTATGCCCTTTCCTGGATCAGGAGGCTCTCCAGTCAGTCACTCATGC